CACCCTCTCTCCGATGTGTGAGTCTAAAGCTCCTCCGAAGGACTGGGATTGCCTTTTGATTTTGCATTCAACATATCCCAATCCCATGTTCCCCGGTGAGTAGAGGTGCCCATTCCTCTCTTTCACTGGTATTTTACGCAAGGGTTCATGAACCTGGGGCAGCAAGGCAGCTCCTTTTGGTACATGGATAAGGTGAATATGAAATAAGCAAGTAACAGTTGGCCAAAGGGCATCACGTTAACGCCCGAGAAGGGACTGTGGAGATGTACTCAGTATGGATCAAGAACGCTCAGGCCTGGCAAAGGTGATTTGGGTGCTCTGAGGAAGCTAATTATGGCACATTTCTGAGGTCATAGCTTACCAAATAATTGAGGTTTGCAGACTACAGAAAATTATATTATTTAATGCTGTTGGGATCTGTCTGAAAATTAAATTCAATTTTTCTTTTTTGTCTTTTTGAGACAGGGTCTTGCTATGTAGTTCAGGTTGGCCTTGAACTCACTTTGTAGCTCAGGCTGGGCTCAAACTTGCAGTGATCCTCCCACCTCAGCCTCCTGGGTGCTGGGATTCAGGAATGTGCTACCACACCTGGATTTAAATTGAATTTTTAAAGTATAAACTTACCTAAGGAGATAATCTGTTTGGAGCCAAAGAACAAAGGAAGCAAGGTTACAAGTCTGTAAAGAGGCAACAAATCTGGGACTGTAGCCACGTGGGATTAGGGGGGTGACCGTTCCAGGCTGGTACAGAGGCCGCTTACCAGGTGAGCTCTAATACACTCAGCTTTTCCTCCAATAATTGTCAGAGGTTCTCAGGGCAGTTTTTCCTGTCAGGACACATGTAGTAAAGTTCTGCAACCCTTTAGGTGGTCACAAGCAGGAGGGAGGTGGGCTTGCACATCTTGGATGGAGACTAAACATCCGTAGTTAATGGGGCAGTCCCCACCAAGACAAGCCGGGCCAGAGGCCCTACAGCTGAAATGAATGACTCTGCAGGTGTGACTGCTCAAAAGGAATACAATGGGTCAAATAAAGTTCAGGTATCACTTGGGAAATGATATCACTTCAGGTATCAATTATCTCCTTGCACTTCAAGCCTCAGAGAAGCCTGATCACGAAGAAACTTTCTTCACTGTGTTTTATCTGGCTTGCCAAAGCCCCTGCCATAAACTTGAAAACAACCATCACAGGTTTGCTGCGAACCTAACTTGAGTGGAAGGGGCCTGTGTCCATGCACACCTGGCAACCAGCTGTTTCCTAGCAACTCTTCCTGGTATGCCAGCACCAGCACCACAACTCTGGGTTATTGTCTTACCTGCAGGTGCTATTAGCAGGCCAGGGGAGTGAAACGGCCTTTGGTGGTTAGCTAAGCAGGTAAGCACCTGTGAGCTGGCCAGGAGGGCAGGCGAGCTGGCCCATGAGATGAGGGCATTTGAGGAGGGGATTATCGGTTGACTCAAGAGGGCAGAGGTGAGTTTTAGGTTTAGTCTTCTGGGTCGGGGAGGATGGCCCACTCTTAAACAGATAATGGGAAAAATCAAAAGGGCGATACTGATACTCCCAAACCTCCGTTTATCCCTTAGGGAAGTACACAAAATCAGCCACTGTATGGGGGGCTGGGGATTTAGCTCAGCGGCACAGCGCTTGCCTGGCAAGCGCAAGGTCGTGAGTTTGATTCCCAGTACCGGAAAAAAAAAAAAAATCAAAAGAAGAAAAAAAAAATTAGCCATTGTGAATTTATGGTCCCCAAACTACACCTCGTATATTTTTTGGTCTATCTCGACTCTGATATGGATACGCACCATGTGTTAGGACCAGAGCGATGGACCACAGTGCTTACCTCGGCTTCCGGGCAGCAGTTTGTATAAAGGGTGGGTGTACAATATCACACCCTGGACTCAAGCTGGTTTCCAGGTTTTGCATCAGTGTCATTTGGTGTGCATAAAAGTGCGGTATACAAGCATCCATCTTCATGATCTCCTCTTTTTTTTTTTTCTTTTTTTTTTTTTTTCCGTACTGGGAATTGAACTCACGGCCTTGCGCTTGCCAGGCAGGCGCTATGCCACTGCGCTAAATCCCCAGCCCCTCATGATCTCCTCTTGATGAATTTAAAGCAAGAAAGCATGTGAGTAAACATCTTATTTAATAAATAAGCACTCATTCATCGTTAGTGAATGAACCTAAACACCTTTAGAACCTAAACACCTGTATCACACCAAGGTGCAGGCTCAGGGGCGCGCCCTCCTTGGATGTCTGCAGGAGTGTCTGGAAAACAGACGCCACCCTTCCCTCCCCGACCCCATTTCCTTGCTCCAGGCGTCTGGGGGTGCCTGCCCCCTTTCTTCCTCCATCCCTCCCTTCTCAGCACCAGAAAGCCTCCGCTCCTGTCCTCTGAGGTTCTGCTCTTCCTATTTCTCCCGTTTGCACGCCCCGCGCTAACCTTTAGGATCTGCTCCTGTCCCGTGTTACCTGCCAGGCGCTTTCTGCTTCTAGGCTCTGTTGGAAGGGTGGGGCTGCGGCCACTAGGGATCGTCCGGCGTCCATCAGACTTCCGCGTTAAAACAGGGACGTAGGATCGTGATACTTGCTTAACTGGCAAGAATATAGGCTTCACTTCATGGACTCCCACAACAGGAAGTTAAGCGCTGTTTATGTCAAATACAGTTCCCTACACCTACAATTTAAGTATGATGGCTCCCTGGGAAGACAGCGAACGCTGCAAAAAGCCCCACTGTGTTTTAGTACAGGACAGTTTTGGCCAATCTGCGTTAATTTACGTCGCTTTTAGAATATCAGAGTTTCAAGCGCCATATTAGACATTAAGAAATAGCCAGTTAGTTCAAAATATATATAAGAAGCAATTAAAGTCTTTGTACCCTCAATTCATATGAGTTATATAACACTTTTCAACTATTAAAAGGTATTATTTAAAAGACATTTAAAAATATTTTAACGTAGTTCTTGTCTAAGAATTTATTTATTTTATTCGTACGCGCTGCGGAGCATTTGAGTGCGTGCCTCGGAAACTGGTGTATGTACACCGCACGTCTTAATTCACTTTGTGATCTCCCCTCTCCCTCCCACCTCCGCCCTCCGGGAATTTAAAAAGTACTTCGCCGGCATTTTATCTTAAGAGAAAGAACAAGCCTTCTGCAGGTCACTGTGCGCACAGCCTGTCTGCGGCCCGTCCCGCGGGGCGGCTCAGGCTCCCTCCGGGCTGAGCTGCGGCCGCGAGGGGCCCGGGTGCGCCGGCCATGGTGCGGATTCGGAGCAAGAGAAGCGGGGCAGGGGCTCATTTTTTTGCCGTAAATATAAATGAAATGTTTCCCTTAAAGAAAAAGCTGTTTATTTCACCAAAGTAGGCTCCCGGACATTATTACTATTTGTGGCAATTACATTACAGCCCTTGTGGGTGCCGTCCTAACTGAACTTAGTGATTTCTTCGGGAGATCCGGACGGACCAGGTCTCGCCGTCTCGGCCCGGAGCCGGGGTATAGTCACGGCGAGGGCCCTAGTGCGAGCTGGACCCGCGCCCCACTCCGGGGTCCCTGGGGGGCCCGCCCGCAACTGGGCCTGGCTCATGCTCTTGCCCCGCCTGGTCCCAGCTGATTCCGCGGTGCTCGGGCTCAGCTCCGGCTCAGCTCGGGCTCCAACCCCTGGCTGGAGCGGGGGGCGCACCCCGGGGGATTCCTGTCCCCCACGCCGGGCCGGACAACCCCTAGCCAGAGCGCCCTGGGCCCGCGGCGGGGCTGCGGCGGACGGGTCTCTGGCGTCCCCTGCCGTCCCCCCCGGCAGACGCGTGCGCCGCATCACGCTCTAGGCCGCCCTGAGGTCGGGGAGCTGCAGACCCCGCCCTCCCAGGCCGCTGCAGACACCGCCCTCCCAGCGCGCTGCTATCTGCCTCCCGCCGCCCGCCGGCGCGTCCTGCGTGCTACGCTAGTATTCACCCAGGGTCCCTGTCTCCATCCGCACAAACAGACCCTTCCGCACCCCGGTCCTTCCCACAGTACATTTGTATTGCTTTTGACGCTGACTATCGTAATTTATTGAGTGCATTTTTTTAATTTTAAAAATAAAAGGAGGAAAACATTAACAGACAGACAACCATTTACAAAATAGCAAAGGAACAGTACAGACACTACAGAGTTACAAACTAAGTGGTAGGAAATTAACAATGCTTGTTGTATTACATATTGATGTCTTCAACGTGGTTTCTCATGAAAACAGAGACATGCAGTATTGATCAATCAAGGACTCATTGACAAGTTTCTTTCAGCATAGAAATAGAAGACAGAAGAACCATGTTAACTATCCTGTATATACACACATACAAAATTTCTCCTTCTTTCCCTTCTCTTTTCCCACATCCCAGTTACCCTTTACCCTTGAGTGTTTTCCTACCATTTCACAATGTCTATCATACCTCCTAGTTTAAATTAACTCTTTCAGGTTTTACACTAGTGAGATAATGCGGTGCTTGCACATGCAGGTCTGATTTATTTCACTTATGAGTATGGTCTCTAGTTGTGACCATTCACCTATAAAGACCTCGAGATTATCTTTCTTTATAGCTGAGTACTATTCCATGGTATAAAAGTACCACAATTTTCTTATCCAGTCCCTGGTGGATGGACATTTGTGTTGCTTCCACAATTTAGCAATTACAAATTGTGCTGCTATGAACATAGGTGCACATATATCGCTGTGATAGGATGTTTTTAGATCTTCTGGGAAAATAGCAACCCATAGGTGGGTTGAATGGGACCTCTAGACCTAGTTTTCTGAGGCATCTCCAAACTGATTTCCACAGTTGTTTCACCAGTCTGCATTCCCACCAGCAGTGGAGAAGGGTTCCTATTTCTCCACAGCCTCGCCAGCATTCAAGAAACGCAAATTAAAACAACATTGAGATTCCACCTTACCCCAGTAAGAATGGCTAGCATTAAGAAATCAACCAATAACAAATGTTGAGTGCATTTTGAAGGGTTACCTCAGGCTTTCCCCGTTATGAACGCGATGCTATCTGTTCTCTTGTGCTTGCTCTCTGATCTGGTTTTAAAAGCAGAGAGTGAAAATATCTGTATTATTCACTTATTTTGTGCATTCAGTGTGTTCTATGACAGAAGTTTATTTTTCTTCACGTCTTTTTTGGGCGATCTTCAGTTCTCTCTGTACTAGTTTGAAAGGGCTCCCTAGCTTCAAAGTGATGTTCGGGAGAGTCCAGTGTTCTTCTTTACCTCCTTCCTAATTTATAAACTGTACTATCGCTGTTCTGTATTTTAGTTCTACTACTTTATTAACAATTCTACTACCTCAGACAGGAGACTTTATTTTAATGGTACAGGAAATTGAACATGGGGGATTTGCACTGAGCTACATCCTTGGCCCTTTTTATTTTTTCTTTTGAGCCAAGAGCTCACTGAGTTGCTAAATTGCCCAAGCTAGGCTCAAACGTGTGATCATGGTGACTTACCTTCCTAGAGTGTGGGAATTATAGGTGTGCACCACCATGCCTGGCCCGGAAGATATTATTTTATGCAGTATAATTTATTTAGATGTACCTACTCACTTGGCAATTTTTTGTCATCATGCCTCTTGCACCTGATTTTTACCCAGTGTCGTTTTCTTCCCGCAAAATGTACGTTCTTTGTAAGTTCTATAGGAGACCATCTTGTGATAAAACTCAGTTTTTGTTTACCTGAAAATGTCTTCACTTTGCTCTCAGTTCTTAAAACATACTTTTTCTGGTCATATTCTAGGCTGACAACTCTTTTACTTCAATCCACTGAAAGTGCTGCCCTTTTCGCTTAGCTCGTGTTGCAGATGATGAAGAATCAGTAAGCAGACTTGCTTCCTCCTCACGCTGGTCCTCTGCACTGGCTGCTTACAGATCTCTTATCCCGTGGGGGCCGCAGATTCATTACGGGTGCTTGAGGGGGGCTTATTTCCATTTCTGCTCTGACAGACTCAGCATTCTGAGGAGTTCCTTTGTTCAGGAATGGTTCTTAGTGACTTATAAACGTGGTCTTAGCCTTTCTCCCTCTCCTGGCATTATCCATGTATATAGGCTTTTTTTTCTTTATTCTCCATATCTCTTTTTTTTTCTCTCTCTGGATTTTGGGTGAGATTTTTAAGAATTATCTTCTAATTCATTAGTTATAACTCCTGCTGTATGTAGTTAAACCTATTCATTGAATTTACTTTGTGTCTTTTATAATTTGGTTCTTTTTCAAATATGCTTGATCATATTTTTTCAATTTCTAATTATAAAATTAGTCTAATGAGCCCATAGATCTAATAGTTTCTAACATTTTTGCAGTATTTGCTTATTTGTTCATTTTCTATAGATCATTTTACCAAACTCCTTAAAATAAATTGCAGGTATCAAATCATGTTCACCTTAAATACTTCAATATGAATCTCCTAGTAATACTGGCTTTTTTTTTTTTTTCTTTTGTCTTTTTGAGACAGGGTCTCACTATGTAGTTCAGGCTGGCCTTGAGCTCACTTTGTAGCCCAGGCTGGTCTAGAACTTGGAACAATTATCCTGCCTCAGTCTCCCAAGTGCTGGGATTACAGGCATGTGCCACCACGCCCAGCTGTTGTTTACTGAGACGGGATCTCACTGATAGTTCAGGCCAGTCTTGAACTCGTCACATAGCTCAGTCTGATCTCAAACTTGTGGTGATCTTCCTATTCCAGCATTTCAGGTTTAGGGCATGTGCCACCATGCCTAGTTGTAATAATCTTAGGTACTCACACAACCATTATTATACCTTAAACATTACCAATAAACTCCTAACATTATTTAACATCTAGGTCATGTTTAAATTTTTCCAGTTGTCTCTAAGATGTCATACTTTGTCTGGTACAGGTTTGTGCCATCCAGTTTTTACTGTGTCTGTGTTAGTAACTTTTCTTGTTGCTGAGACAAAATACCTGACACCCAAAATTAAAGGAGGAAAAATGTATTTAGCTCACCATTTATGGAGGTTTTGGTCCTTAGTTGGCCAAGTACAAGGCAGGGCAGCATGGCAGGGGTGCACTGCAGAGCAGAAACAGTTCATGGTAGGCAGGTAGAAGGCAGCAAGCAGCAGCAGCAATACCACCAGCAGTGAGCCTACCTTTCAATTTTATCCCAAACAGGTTACAAACCATGTGGGTGGAGCCACTCACATCCAAGGTGGGGCTTCTCCTCAGTAAACCCATTCAGCCACACCTAGAACGATGTTAATTCTAATGGTGGACTAATTTAATACACACACCCTTAATCCCAATCTCACACACCCTAGATTCAGCCTCCTCCAAAAGCCCCACCAATGACTTCATGAGGCTTTGGGGGAAGATCTAGATAGAAGCATAATAGTGTCTTATTTTATTTTTAACCATTTCCATGAGATACAATTGATGGAATTAAATTGTATAAATTTAAGGGAACAGTTTAAATTTTGACACATGTGCAGATATGAAACCTTTGTGGTTTCACTACTTTGTGACCAAGATATGAACATATCCTGTCACCCACAAATGGTTTCTTGTTCTTTGTACTCCTTCCCTCCTGCCCTGCCCTGCCACTCCCTGGCAACCACTCTTCTTTCAGTCACTATGGATTAGATTCAATTTCCTAGCATTTTGTACAGTGAGATTATACACTATTTTTTTTGTCTGATTTTTTTCACCCTGAGAATTTATTTTCAGATCTATCTATGTCATTGCAGGAATCCATCGTTCATTACTTTTTATTGTAGAATAGATAAGCTGTTATGGTTTGAATTTGAAATGTCCCCCAACACTGATGCTAAAGGCTTTGTTGCCAAGTGTGGGCTTTTCAGGAAGTGACTGGACATGACAGCCCCAGCCTTATCAAGTGGACTAGTCCATTGCTGAGATCAGAATTGATAGCATTATTGGGAGGTGATGAAAGCAGGAGGTGGGGCCTTGTTGAGGGGAAAGTGTCATGTGGTCTTGCATCTGGGGACCAAGTCTGCTTCTTCGCCTCTTCCTCTTTGTCTCTCTGCTTCCTGGCTCCATGAGGCCAGCAGCCTTCCTCTGCCACACCCTTCCACCAGGATGTTTTTGCATCACTGCAGGTCAGAGAACAGTGGAGCCAGCTGAAAGCATGAGCCAAAATAAACCCTTCCTGCTTTGAGTTGTTTGTGTGATTATTTTGTTACAGCTGTGGAAAGCTGACTGATACATAGGCACATGCCACAATCTCTGTATCCATCTGCATGTTAATGGACATTTGTGTTCTCTTTGGGCTTTAACTATTGTAACTAGGACAACAAGGTACCCTGTGCATGAAATCTAAAGAAACGCTCCTTCTCAGACATTGCAAGTGTCCCACTGGGCCAGGCTAGTGCAGCCTTGATGGCTGATAAAGCTGATGGGAACATTGGCATCAAGCTTTCCCATGGCCATGTGCTTGCACTTCTCTTGGGTAAATTCCTAGGTCATAGGAATGGCTGGGTCATATAGTAGTTACATTTCTAATTTTTCAAGAAGACATTAAACTGTTTTGCTTTTCTACCAGTGAAGTATGACAATTCCAGTAGCTACACATCCTGACCCACACTGGGCCTGTTGCATTTTGGCCATTCTAGTGGGTGTGCTATGTAGTTTTAATTCACCTTTTTCTAGTAACACGTGATGTTGAGTACCTTTTTATTTGCTTATATGCCATCATCTTTCTTCATGTAGTGCTTGTGCAAATATTTGCCCATTTTCTATTGGCTACTTAGTTATAGAGTTATTTAGATACTCTAGATACCTATTTTTTGTGAGATGTATGTTTTACAAGTATAGTATTTCCCTATTTTCCCCTAGTGTGAAGTGGCCTGATCATTTCTTTTTCTTCATTAATTAAGTTTACTGGTACATTTTAGGTATACATAATGATAAAATTCATCATAGGGAATTGGTACCTGTACATGATATCTTTTTCTTTTTTCCCATTCACCTCCCCTCACTTCAACTCCTCTCCCTCCTTATTTACAGAAGCTTTGTTTCTATTATTTCCTTCTTTTCTCATGTTTTTTTCTTTTCCCTCCCTTCCTTTTCTCCTCCTCCCTCCTTAGTTCCCCTTCCCATTTGAACATTTTCTTCCTGTTTCACAATATCTGTTATACATTTTGGTCCTTATTTATACTTTCAATTTCTCACACCAGAGAAACAATGTAGTATTTACACGTGTGTGTCCTATTCATTTCACTTAACAGTATGGTCTCAAGGTGCATCCATTTAGCTAGAAATGTCTCAAGCTTATCCTTCTTTATAGCAGAGTAGTACTCAACTGCATTAAAAAACCCCACATCTTCTTTATCCTTTCATCAGTTGATGGGCATCTGGGCTCTTTCCAAGATTTAGCTACTACAAATTGTGCCAGTAGAAACATGGGTGCATATATAACACTGTGGTCTGATGCTTTTAATTCTTTCCAGAAGATACCAAGAAGGGGAATAGTGGCATTGAATGGAACTTCTAGTCCTAGTTTTTTTTAAGAATCTCCACACTGATTTCTACAGCGGTTACACCAGTCTGCACTCCCACCAAGAGTTGAGAAGGGTTCCTTTTTCCCTGTAGCCTCTCCAACATTTGTTACTGTTTGATTTCTTTCTTTCTTTCTTTCTTTCTTTCTTTCTTTCTTTCTTTCTTTCTTTCTTTTTTTGTTGTTGTTGATTTCTTGATGATACCATTCTTTCTGGAGTGAGATGGAATCTCAGCATTGTTTTAATTTGCATTTCTCAAATGACCAATAATATTGAACATGTCTCATATATTCATTTGCTGTTTCTACTTCTTCATCTGAGAAGTTTCTATTTATTTCAGATGCCCATTTTTGGATCAGGTCTTTAAATTTGGGGGTTATTTTTTTGAGTCTTTTACATGTTCTAGATATTAGTCCTTTGTCTGAGGAACAACTGGCAGAAAATTCTTTCAACACTGTGGCTTGTCTCTTCACTCTTGATTTTTCTTGCTTTGCAAAAGCTTTTTTATAAAACGAGATCCCGCTGGGCGTGGTGGCACACACCTGTAATCCCAGCACTTGGGAGGCTGAGGCAGGAGGATCATTGTGAGTTCGAGGCCAGCCTGAGTTCAAGCCCACCCTGAACTGCAAAAAAAAAAAAAAAAAAAAAAAAAAAATGAGATCCCAGTTGTTGATTCTTTGTGGTAATTCCTGTGTGGTCACCATTTTGTTCATAAAATGTTTGCCTACGCCTATGTCTTCAAGAGTTCTACATATTCTATCTTCCAGCAGATTTAGTGTTTTTGTTTTAATATTTAGATCTTTTTGGTTTTAATCTTCTGCATGTGGAAAGCCAGTTTTTCCAGCACCATTTATTAAAGAGGGCCTGATCATTTCTGTAGCAGTATCTGTTTTCTCTTTTCTTTCTTCCTTTTGTTTTCTTTCTTTTTTTTTTTTTCATTCTTTCTTTCTTTCTGAGATAATTCTATCTTAGTTACTTTCTCATTGCTGAGACAAAATGCCTGACACCCAAAGTAAAAGGAGGAAAGGTTTATTTAGCTCACAATTTGTGGAGGTATCAGCCCATGGTCAGCTGACTTTCCCTTCATATTCTATCCAGGCTAACTACCTTTTGGCTGGTGCCACCCACACCCAGGGTAGGGCTTCCCATTATTCATACCCAGACTATGCTAAACCAATCAGTAAACCAACTTGGTTATCACACACCCTAGATCCTACCACCTCTGAAAAGCCCCACCTATGAGCACATAGGACTTTGGGGGGGACAGGTAGATACAATCCATGACATACTATTTCCATTTTTTTTTTGCATTGACACCAGGCCTCATTATACTTTCCAGGCTGGCCTTGAACTCCCAATCCTCGCCCTCAGTCTCCGGGTAGCTAGGACCACTCATGTGAGATATGTTGGAGGGCTCTCTCTCTCTCTCCCTCTCTCTCTCTCTGTGCCTCTCTGTCTCTGTCTCTGTCTCTGTCTCTATTTCTCCCTCTCCCTCTCCCTCTTCCCTCCAAAGGGAATTAATCCAGTTTTATCCACAAGGATACTGAGACCCAAAGGGGTAGGCAACACCCTCACTCAAGCTCATGGGAGATGCATGGCATAGCTGTGCTCACTCTTTACAGAGAGCTCATGCTTCGTGGATCAGCAGTTTGACAATGCTCTCTCTTTTTGTCATCATGCAGGGATTTACAGTGGTGGGAAGTTGTGTGAGGTCATTAAAATGATTATGATGAGACATATGTAGGCATCAAACCCCAAGCTGAATGTGATCACTATATATCACAAATATGCACTAATAAAAAACTAAAAAAAAGAAAAAAACAAAAATGAATTGCCAAGCACATGCATCCTGTGTCCCCACAGACTCATCAACAGGAAATTATCACCAACAGGAAGTTATCACCTCTTAGGAAGAGTAGTAAATCTTCCCAGGAAGGAACAATGAAATATGTCCCTTCTGACACAACTACATAGACTTTTCCAAACTCTGTCACCAGCCTCCCTGTTTGGTGAGATAAAGTGTAGGTGTGTGCTGTTTAATAGCACTGCATACATCTTTTGAGTTTCTGTTTCTATGAAACATTCAGGACAGGATGCATTTTGAGCTTCAGTGACATAGCTATCATTTTGAAACTATGATGGTTGTGTACATTTCCACTTAATAAGGAAGCACACATGTGTATTCAAACATTCTGTGGAATGTCCTTGGGAACAGTTTTCTAGGCCTGCCAACCACCAGCCTTGACTGACAGCATCCACTCTTGGGAAGCTGTTTTTATTCTGTGCGGGCACAAAATCTGATGATTTTTCTCCTGACTAGATGAAACACAGACATGTCCTTGTATTTGCAGGCAGGAAACCCTCATCTGTGTTATTCGTTTGGGAGAATGAGAGGCTTAATATTAAGCCAGCCTCTATACCTGTCCTTAGCTTCACTTACCCAGGGCGATGGAAAGGCTGCTCCATGGACTGCTCCCATCCACACATCCTCACCAGTGCTTGTGTTCAATCGCAGGAAATGAGAAGGTTCTACAGCCAGCAGTCTGGGGAGTGACAGTAAAACTTTAAAACTCCAATGTATTTTTCCCTGGACACCCCTGGTAGGTGCTGACAGTAGGTTTCCACATATAAGAAAACAGGTATTAAACTGATGACCGTCTTAGCTACTTTTTCTTTGCTGGGACAAAAATACTCAACACACACAAGTTAAAGAAGGAAAAATTTATTTAACTTACAGGTAGTAAAATTTTCAGTCCATAGTCTGATGGTTCCAAGGCAGGGAAGCCTGGCAGAGGGCATGGCAGAGGAGAAACAGCTCATGGCATGGCAGGAAGGAGACAAGGCAGAATGCTCAAGGGAAGACAAGGGATATATATATCCAGGCCACGGTCACAGTGACCCACCTCCTCCTACCTGGCTTCGCCTCCCAACAGCACACCTAGCTCTCAGTCCATCAGTAGACTAATCAAGTATCGCACATCCAGTATCCAGTGTCACACACCCATAATCCAGTCACTCCCACAAGTCCCACCTGTGAGTGCATGAGGCTTTGGGAAGACATATAGATATAAACCATAGTGGTGACCCTAGAAAATAAAACACATTACTTTTCCAAGTCTGAAACTGTAACACAAGAAAGACTAATTAGCTTCTCCCTGAGGTCCCTGTGCAGTTAAATGTTCTGTCTATGATTCCATGTCCGACATCAAGCCCTACATTTCTTTAGGAAGTCACCTGGATCGTGGTCAGATGCCTGTGGCCCTTCCAGGGTTTGGGGCCCTCCTGCTTGCCTACTTGATCACATGTGGCTGTAATGAAATTAAAGTGTACCAGTGATTCTTGAGCAAATGCAGACTGCTGCTTCATAGGCACCACTGCGCTACCCCTCTGGGGAGGCAGGGGACTCATCAGCCAGACTGAAGGGGGACAGACCCTACCCCTTCAGCTTTCATCCTGAACAGAGCCGACCCAGCACCTGTGATGTCATTCTGGACCCAAGTGGTAGAGGAAGGGCGATGTCTCCTCCTCTGTGCAGATTCTTGTCTTCCTGGCTGCCCTGCTGACCCAGGCCCTCGTGCTCTCATGTGCAGAGTCTCACTCTCTTCGGTAACTTCCTACCTCCAGTGTCAGTCTGGGTTCACAGGAGTCTTCAGCCTCAAGACCTTCTCACGGGTGCCTTCAGTTCTCCTTGGACCACCCAGGTCTGGCCCCCACAAACATCCATTGCTGGCCCCTGGGAAGGTGTCATGCCAGCACTGCCATAGTCCATGTGTCATAGACCTGCATGTCCCTTGTTCCTGCCCTCAGGGCTTCTTATTGATCCTTCCTCCAGACTCCTTCCCCCCTCCCCCCCTGACTCCCCCGAGCCAGACCTTGATTCTCTGAAACTTAATCTCTCTTCACTTCCTCTCCTTGAACCCCCTGGACCGGGTCCATTTGTATTCTGTTTTAGAGTTACACTTCTCACATTTAAGCCTGATCTTTTCATTCTGAAGCCAAAATACTTGCTAGTTTCTACACTATGGATTTAGAAATATGTAGATCATGCAACAATTAGAATGCACCGCATTCTATTAGAATGCATGGTAGAACTGGTGCTACCAACTCTCCCTACTTCTGTGATGTCACTGTTGGACTCCTGGGTCCCCACAGCTGCTGCTGTGCACAGTTCCAGGGGCACAGCCCAATTCCAAGGACTGGTGTTCCGGAGTCCTCCAGCCATGACAAAAGCTGATGTGTGTTGTCTTCCAGCCATCTCCCACAAAGCATGGGGTTTGTCATCCTCAGGCATTTCCTTACCCTTTTACTGACATCACAGCTCAAGGCTATGTGCCACTGTCTTGCACTTTTGCTTCACAAAAGTGGTATCAGGCCGTGTATGTTTCCATGCATCTTTTGCTTCCTTATATTCTGATGATATGTGTATTTCATTCATTTTTGTTGCTCTGTAGAGGTCCATTGTGTGAACGCACTATACTTTTCCTCTCTACTCTCCTCTTGGTGAAATTTAGGCTTTTTCTAATTTTTTGTCCTTATAATTACTAGCACTTTAAGCATTCTTGTGCCACCTCCCAGAGAATTTAAATGTGCTGCATTGCAAGAGTGGAGTTACTGAGGGGTTTAATGATTTTCTGTGTGATTGCGGCAAACAGTCTTCCAGCTGTGCCTGGGACATCCTGGGACTCTGCATCCTTATCATCCTTATTGCCAACAGACATCCTAATTTTTGCTAACCTGTGAGTGTTTTTGATTTTCCTAATTTCTGAGGAGATTGAATGTCTCTTCCTTTGTCTTTCCTCCTCAGTGATTTGCCTATTCTTATTTTTGCTAATTTACAATTTACATTTACATATACTTTTATTAAACTATTACAATTCTTCACATATTCTAGACATTAACATGTTACCAGATAAATGTGCTATGTGAACATTATGCCTATGTGAATTGATGTGAACTTCACTGCATGAAGAAACACCTAGCAGATTAGGAAAGCATGCTCCTGAGTGTGCCTACGTGTGTCACAGAGGCACGACCTTGTGTACTGTCTTAGTTACTTTTCTTGTTGTTGGGACAAAATACCTGACACCCACAAGTGAAAGGAGGAAAGGTTTATTTCAGCTCACATTTTGTAGAGGTTCCAGTCCATAGTCAGCTGGCTGAGAGGCTGAATAGCATGGCAGAGTGGAAAAAAAGTCCATAGCAGAGCAAGTAAGAGGCAGTGAGGGCTACCTTTGGTCTTTCCCTTTTGTCATGGTTGAAACATTGTGTCAACTTGGGGAGTCTAGAGGTTTGGCTAAGTAACTCAGCAGGAAGCCAGGACACTTACTTTGTATACATCCTGAGCCTGTGGAAGAGGAGGGCATGGAGATTATGTGAGAGCTACACGCCCCTTAGGTGGGGGTAGCCTGTTTACAAA